GGGGGCAGAGTGCAGTGTTGGTGCGTGCATATATAAATAAGTACGTGTAAATTGAACTTAGAATACTGACAGCTTAGTAGAATTAGTGGACAGACATACATACAGTAGACATACAGTGTGACCTGTCAGAGCGACCCAGCTGTCAAACTGAAATTCTGACCGAGTGCGTCCGCCTTTCGAGTGAGGGCTCAGTGGAGTGAGGGCTAGCGTTCAGTGATCAGTGTTCAGTGGTCAGTGTTCAGTAGTGAATGGTGAGTGGTCATTGTCATTGGTCAGTGCTGCAAGGTGGCCGACGTAGTGAAGAAATCGCCGACGCTACGGGATCTACCGAGTGACCGTGACTTTCTACGATCATCTGCTGCACCTGACATCCGCTTAGACCCACGAAGGTAAGTCCTCGCAGCTGATTGCATTTGTAAAATTGGTGCCCTCTTTTTATATTTCAATTATCTTTTCTCGGAAACCTATAGATTTGGTCAAAATGATACATGGATATGCATTGCTATAAAAGACAAAGGATTTCGATTCGAGAAAAGATCATTAAAATTATAAAAAATGTGATTATAAATTATATATTGCAGAAAACTGTTTTCTAAAAAATCTGTTATTTTTGCAGGTTTTGCCCCCTGCAAGCAAAATCGTAGGCGTTCAAGGTCAAATATGAGAGAAATACCCAGAAAGAGCGTTAAAAGGGCTATCAAATGCGCTTTTCCGTGGCGCTGTACCTAGCTCTATTGGTTCCGGAGTTGTGCGTTGGAATCTTGTAAATTGTCGACATTCGACCTGGAAATCGGCGAAATTTTTCCTTCCGTGGCCTATGGTTACCTGACCTTTAACCTGACCAAAAAAGTGAACGAGCTGATTTCCATTATTATTTTGGACGTTCTTTCGAACGCCGCCTTTCGCGTATCGTTGCGTGGCCCGGGAGCCGTGTTAGAATTTGGGGGGGATGTTCAACCCCCCCCCCCCCAGCAGGGTGTGGATTGGAAGTCCAGGACCCCCAGCGGGGCACGTGTTAACTTGACCTTAGGTCACCGACATGCAAGCTTGGAGCTTACATTCATTTCATACATTTCATATATTTAAACATTTCATAATTCTCGTTACGCTGTCTTTTTCTGGAAGGTGCAACCTCTGATACCTACATCCGGTTGTTGTTTTTTGGCGACCATTTACTTTTTAAGGAGAGATCACTTGACATGACCTGATAAACTGACCTTGGCCTTACCTGTGTCTAATTGTTCATTAACATATCCGTAGATGAAATAAAATGTGTACCAATTATGTCGACTTTATCGAAGCCGTTTAGGTATTTACAAGAAGCCAGGACGGACGTCACTACCGCTACGGTGCGGACTACGCCAAAATGAAATAAAAATTGTCCCTTAACCCTCGCCCGCACATGCCATTTTCCCATCCTAGAACGCACATGGGGGGGGGGGTTGCCACCCCCCCCCCGCGCCATTTCGTTCCTGTTGGAGATAGAGCTTAGCAGTAAAGACCAAAAAGATTCTTTGGGAAGAGACGAATCCAATGATACCCAGTTTTACCTTCTCAGGTCCGTCATTGACCTTCCAGGTCAGGTCAAACTAAAAAATGTTGCTGTTTTGGGTCACCGTTGGATATCAAGTGCGCTGCTTATCATATACCGATGACTATGCCGTTTTTTGGTGCCAAACGAGCTAGAACCTCTTTGTCACACTACCCGACCAGGTTTTTGCTGCTGAGGTCACACTACCCGACCAGGTTTTTGCTGCTGAGGTCATTTCAGGTCAAGCTAGGTCTAGGTCAATTATATGTGTTTGTATGTCTGTGTGTGTCTGTGTGTATACTGATGTGTGCACCGATTGTTTATGTGTCCATATTACATGAAATCATGATCTGAGAAGCTTTTACCAGAAATGCAGTCAAAAAACTTCGCAAAAAGTAAATTCCGCTTGCCTAAAGCGCAATTATCTTAGATGACCTAGGTTGACCTTGACCCTAACCTTGACATCTGTACATCATCGAACAACATGTTCCATGATAGGTGGGAGGTAAGACTGGCAAAAAAAGGCCGAAATCAAGGTGTCAAAAGCTCACAAGGCCCATAGCCAACGCAAGATGTTGAGAATTGGCCATTTGGGTCATGACATGACCTGAAAAACAAGGTCATATCTGCGAAACCAAAAACCACAGGAACTTGAAGCTTTCAGTGGACATCAAGAAAGGATAGAGGAGCAGCTATACGAAAAATCAGCCTTCTAGCTCTAAAAATGTTGAGTGCAGAGCAGAAAGACTACCTGGGGGGGTGGCAACCCCCCCCCCCCCATGTGCGGGCGAGGGCTAGGGTAGTTTTCGGGCTGATTTTGAATTTAGCATCCATTTGAACGTTTACGAAGTAGTTTTAGTGCCTTCGTAACATGCTACGACGCCGTCAGTGGTAGTTGACACCTACTATGGATAGTCGGTAGGACGCCTAATGGTTGACCTGACCTGACCTGACCCGATCTGGCCTAAATGCATGAAGAAATCATCTGTGATCAAAACTAACATGATACTCGTGATCAGCACCCCGAAAAACCCGATAACAGCTTCACTTTACGCAGTTTTAGCAGGTCTACTTTTCCCGACTTTTTGAACATTGACCTGACCTGGAAGGTCAACCAATGACCCAGGACCTTAAAATTGGGTATCATCGGCTTCCTCTCGTCACGGGCAACACCCTCGTTCTTTCCGCAAAGCTCTAGCTCGATCAGCCCCCCCCCCCCTCACCCTACACATTAGAACCTGGAAAACGCCGCACACATGCGAGGGTTAATATTGTCAATATTGACTACCGCAAAAAGTAAAAGCGGCCAACTTAGCCATTTTCGAAGATATCGGGCTAAAAATGTTGACAGTGGGTCATCGGCTCGGTATGTGTTCAATCACATGCTCCATTTCCCTTTTTTCTTCAGCACAAATGTAAGTTTTGAAGACCATCACAAAAGCAAATGCTTCGAAAGATGGATAGTGGGTAACATATCCTGAATTTGCCGTGCTGCATGGAAAGTAGTCTTGATGAGAAAAGGGGTTTTTGGTTCTGATTTTTGTGGGTGCAGAATACATTGTCTGCACCCACTGGAGAAATATTGTGGGTGCAGCTGCACCCTTGCACCCATGGTTCCTACGCTTATGATCTGAGAAGCTTTTACCAAAAATGCAGTCAAAAAACTTCACAAAAAGTAAATTCAGCTTGCCTAAAACGCAATTATCTTAGATGACCTAGGTTGACCTTGACCCTGACCTTGACCCCTGTATATCGTCGAACAACATGTCTCATGATAGGTGGGAGTCAAGGCTGGCAAAAAAGGCCGAAATCAGGGTGTCAAAAGCTCACAAGGCCCATGGCAAACGCAAGATGTTGAGAATTGGCCATTTGGGTCATGACATGACCTGAAAAACAAGGTCATATCTCCGAAACCAAAAATCACAGAAACTTGAAATTTTCAGTGGACATCAAGAAAGGATAGACGAGCAGCTATACGAAAAATCAGCCTTCTAGCTCTAAAAGTGTTGAGTGCAGAGCAGAAAGACTGCCTGGGGGGGGGGGGTGGCAACCACCACCCATGTGCGGGCGAGGGTTAACCCTCGCCCGTAAACGGCGATCTGCCACCTTCGCCCATGCAGGGGGGGGGGTTGGTGCGACCCCCCCCCCCTTGGCGTTTGAAAACGGAGCGTCGTAGAGCTTAGCGGAAAAGACCAACGGATTGCTCTCGCCGAGATCTCGCGATTGGTGGTATATTTTTTGGTCCTAGGTCAACATTTGACCTACTTTTGACCGGTCAAAGGTCAAATTTTCGGAAAAAATAGACTTTTTCAACTTTCCGCGGCGATTGCGGCAAAACGGTGGGAGATATCGACTTGAAACCTTCACTATCGTGTTCCTTGATCAATTCTCTATCGTTTGGTATGTATTTCGTTTCCCTAGCTCTAAAAATGAATGGCGCGTTGGGAGCGCCGGAAGTCGGCAAGGTCACAGTCGGCGGCAGAAATTCGAAAAATCAAAATTCAAATTTTTGAAATCTGATTGTATTTTTGGATTTGGGAGGTCCATTTGCTCCCTATAGAAGCTACTATTGCTGCATATTCCCATTGAGGTGACAAGAATTAGCAAAATAGTGGTTCGGGCGCTTTTCAAAAATAGTACCGGACGCTGTTCCACTTGTGACGTCATAGCTCCGTGACCTGACCTGACCCGGTCAAGTTTCTTATACCATATGATAGCCAATACTTGCCCCAACATGCATGGGAAGTTTCATCACGATCCATCAACCGATGTCCGTACCACCGGCAGGAAACCTCGGGCGTTGGCACTCAGTTTGTGAAAATCCGGCCGGAGGCTGTTCCCTTTGTGACGTCATAACTCCGTGACCTGACATGACCCGGTCAAATTTTTTTTTATCAAAAGATGCGCAAGGTTTGCCCCAAAAGGTACCCAAAATTTGGCGGCGCTGCGCGCCGCCGTTTTTGCACTATTTCTGAAAAGTCTCAGGGGGGGGGGTTGCACCAACCCCCCCCTACATGGGCGAGGGTTAAAGCTTTGCCATCAGCACAGAGGCCTAATTACACCAATGCGTAATAAGGTTGATCGGTCCCGGCCCATCTGAACGTTGCCCGGTCGAATTATGTCTACCTGATGTGGATCGAGTCCTTATCTGATCTCTGAGAAGTCATCCTCTGATATCTGGGCTAGGCCATCGCGCTTTTCGATCTATCCCTTTCCTGATTTCTAATCCCTTCCCTGGTCTCTGCTTGAGCTCTTGCTGTCACGCTCCCGTCTGGCCGCTGTCATGTCTCCCGAGTCCTTCAGTCGTATTTTACCTGGATCTGACTAGAGAGAACGAAGGTCCCAATTCGAAAACTTTTGGGGGAATCGACCACCTGGCCCCTTCGACACCCATTGCTCGCACTTTAGCTCCCTAATCCTACCCGCAAATATGTGCTTCCGCACGTCTCCACATCACACTAAAACACGATTGATGATACGCATGTGTATTGTATATACGATGCTGTTGACAAATGTTAACGGCGCGCAAACTGCGAGAGAAAAATACACTTTCAGAGCAACTCTGGACGGATGCACTCAACGGCATGATTCACACGCATTCATAAAAACTCGCGACCAAAAACAGCATAAAATGGGGTAAAATGTGTTTCGCAGCTTTTAACAGGAGCGGTAAAATTTGCTCGCGCTTATCGTTTAATAACAACCTGGCATACAAGGTAGAGCATAACGAGCACTTTAGCAAGCGGAATCTGTCGAGTTGCATTTCCAAACTGCTGATGGCGATTAAATATAGACGTAGCAAAGAGTTCGCCTAACAGCCTATTGTTGACAGTTTCGCCAGCCCAATTCCAGCGAAATACCAATTCCACACATCGGTTCTGTGGATTCCGACATACATGGGTTCAGGCCAACGACATCACCAACATTCCTTCCCTGGCGGACCACTCGCACTTCGCAGACACTAGACATTTCTAAGTTCACCGCTAGATGGCAGCAGATATTTCACGCCTCGAGACGCTCCCGGCCACATACAGACCACTAGCGACATCTGTAGCCGGTTCCGGGAACTATCACTTCCGTCTCAGGCTTACCCCTGCCCACTTCCGGGGTTGACATTAGATGGCAGCACCGGCGGTCGGAGCAACAGCCAATCGGATCCGCCGACACATCCCGATGACCTATCAGAAGGACCGACACAACCGGGCAGCCAATCATATTTCAAAACACATCAAATCTACAGACGAAATCGTTTCAGTAGCCACAAGTCCAACCACAAAACTGTCTGCGCTGTTTTTTTCAAGCGCAATTTCTTCATCAAACATCGCAGCATAATAAAATTACAGACACAGAGGCACTCTAAATCGGAACAAAATTAGACACGCCAAACCCTTCTCGTCTTCAGCAACACTCTCAACCTTTAGACAGCCCTCTCATACATCGACCACACATTCCCGCATTTATGTCTTTTTTAACACATTTTTAATATATTGTCAGTCTCTGATCTAGGCGCGGGGCTGTATAGCCGAGGGCTAGAGTCACCACTCCCCCAACTCTGAGTCAGAAGAGTCAGAGTTGTGACTCTAATGTCTCAAAGGCCAGGTCTGCCTCATTTGTTCAGCTCAGACAAAGATGTCGATGGCTAAGTCTGCGGGCCTTGTCGAGGCATCGGCCGTTTGAGAGCTGAGGCGTTGGAAACTTGAGAAGGCAGCCGAGCAAGTTGTCTGAAGGGCTGAAGACTCAAGAATACAAGAGTTGGAAACACTTTGTCCCCTAGGTCGGTCGGCGTCAGTGACTTCGTTTGACCTCCAAGAGCTGTGGATGGTTCTCGACAATGTTGAGCAGGATGCCGTCAATGTAGTTCCGAAGCTGCTTGTTCACCTCCTGCTGCTCCAGAAGCGACTGCTTCAACTGGAAAGAAAACAGAGATAATGGTTTGAGATGGGAGATAGCGGACAATCTTGTTCGAGATCACGTAATTGTATTATTTTTCATGCGAATGAATGAATGAATGAACGGATGTACGAACGAACGAACGAACGAACGAACGAACGAACGAACGAACAGACGAACAGACGAACGAACGGACGGACGAACGAACGAACGAACGAACGAACGAACGAACGAATGAATGAATGAATGAATGAATGAATGAATGAATGAATGAATGAATGAATGAATGAATGAATGAATAAACGCATGTAAGGAGGTCGTGCAAGGGCAAGGTGTTCGATCATGCAAGGTGCCCAGTTCTTTCATGGACGTGACGTGAAAGCTAATGTTATCGTGCAAAACTTAAGCGACACATGCGTATATGCAAAGAGAAACAGGGGCATGAAAACCACACTTCACAATCTCATGTATAAAAAAGTGATAATGCAAGCAATACAGGTCTAGTTGTAAGCCATCGAGGAGAAGGCATGCATTAGATTCAAGCGTCTTTATTTCCTCTTCCCGATTTATGACGACATCATTCTTAATTCGTTTAGCAAGCCTTAGAAATAAAGCAAAGGCCTTATATCGTCAATTCAGATTATGATTATTGTACCCGTCAAATGTCAGGGCATCAAATGTCATGAAAAATATATTTGTGGGGTAATGGTAGACAACGTCAAAGACAAGCAACTTTGGGAGAAGTCAAAACAGCTCAAGTGCTAACATAGACGTTGGCGACAGGATCATGCAAAGCCAACTTTCGTGCAACTGTGTTAGACGAATTGGAGTGCTGAGCGTCGTTGGAGAAAATTTTGTTAGTTTGGAAAAACATGCGAATTTAGTACTTCTGCTCACCTTCTGTGAGATTTCTGCACTGTCAACCTTGAAACAGAAGGAAATATGACGTCACCATAATGCTTTGGAAGTTTTACCATTAGCCTGCACCGATCCAAACATTAGGGTTACATATTGCAATAATTTTATGAAATATGATTAATGATGGCAGTAAAGCGGATTGCCGTTTTGAAGTTTAATGACACCTTTTCTTTTCTCAGGACCAACTAAAATGCACTAATAAAAATGCATTAATTATGCAGTAAACGCTTTAAAAAGCATGTAAAAAATGCAACTTGATAACGATGTCAATTAGTTCAATGAGAAACAAGATATCGAAGAATTATCTGTGCTAGTAATTTTGAGTGCAACATGAAGTTTATGCCAGGGTAGCAGTGTATGCCTGAGCCAACCACCCAAGCACCATGAACCCAAATTAGCTCCCTTCTCCACGAACTAACATTATGTGCATCTAGCTTTAACTAAATAGCGGTGATGTCTGGACGGACAAGCAGCTACCGCAAACTCAGACAAGACACACACAAGGCAGACAAACAAAGACTGCTAACAAGGCAGGCATAAAGAAAAATCGGGATACTGATTTGCGTAAAGGGCGTATTTAGCTAAAAGTGCGACAAAACATGTATGTTTAAAAAAGGCACACACCTCGCTAAAAACGAATAGGCATCACTCTTCCAAAAGGTAGTCGCTGAGGCTTAGGACGAGTTGGTGTGTTTAAATAAAAAGGCACTACGGACGACTACAAAGTACAAGGGTACAATGGTATGGTTAAGCAGGGAACACGTATTACCTGATGATGGAGATGAAAGGATTGGTGGAAGACGTTCGTGACTTTGGTAGGAAGAAGCTGCGGAAGGGAAGAATAGGATAATGACCACCATTACCACATACAGTGACCACGGAAGTGGTGAGACCGGGAGTAACACATAAATAAAAAGGCACTGATGGACGGTACAGTAAACATTAAGTTTCCAAAGTATGAGGAGGTACAAATAAGGAAAGAAGTATGTCATCAAATGAAGGAATACACCATCCAATCATCGTTACGGATGAAACAACACCATACGATGACCAAAGGACAACAACCGCTCCTATACAAGCCCAAGTCCCCTTTTCTTCTTACCTGATCGCCGGACATGTCTCCGAGCTCTGCGGCCAGTGACTTGGCGCCCGAGTCGAGCAGCTGGCGGCCCTCCTGGAGACCAGTGGTCAGCAGCTGGGCCTGCAGCTCATCATTGGCCTCCTGCAGCTCTGTGGAAACGGAGATACGGGTGGAGGGTGAGTGGAAGTTCAGCTGGCCGTCAACGGGATCGCGTTGACACAAGAACGTTTGCGTCTGGTCTAATCGATATCGATTGTTTGAACCCCAAGGAAACTATGATCAAAGAAGGCTAACGTGCAGATTAGGGCAAGCCAAAAGCAAGTGGAAGAAAAAGTGACTAAAAGACGAAACATGAAGATACCTAATTGACGTTGAACGGGCATCGAGTGAAACAAAACTGAGCACAAATCATCATCTGATCCCTCCCATCGGTCCACTCTCTCACCCCTCCGTCTAGCATCTCTAACTCTCCACCCACCTTTGTTCTCCTCCCGTAGCCTCCGCACTTCATTCTCCAGGTGATCCTGCTGTAACCGCACTCGTCCCGCCTCGTCCGACTCGGTCTTCAGTCTGAGGTGCGCCGATCGCTGCGTCTCCTGCAGCTCCCCGGCCAGTTCGGCCATCAGCCGCTCCTGGAGAGCCCGCTCCTGCTCCCGCTCCTGACGGCCGCGCCGCTCCAGCTCGGCAGCACGCGCGGTCTCCAGACGCGCCGACTCCAGCGCGGACTGCAGCTCCGAGAGACGCTCGTCCAGGGCGGCACGCTCGGCCAGGGCCTGATGGAGCTGCTGTTGGCAGCGGGAGGCTTCCGCCTCGGCGTGACGGAGCTCCTTCTCCAGACCCTGCGCTCTGCAGAAGACAAAGGAAGGCAGGGTATTAGAGAAGCGAGCTCGTTTGTTTTACATAAAAAGTATACATCACTTCGTCGGACATTCTTTTAGATATTTTTTCATCTTGAATATCGGGAAAATTTCAAAGTGAAGCTGAAGTAAGAATCCTGACCTCTTGAATGCACCTGAGCGATGTAAGCGGTTATAACGAATGACACATTACGTTTTACGCTTTCTGTGTTTTCTTTAGCATGTAATATTCATCGTCACTTAGCATTCGAATTTCGATCCATGATAACTTCACGAAACAATCCCACAATACAGTCCACCATGACCTGAGCTCATAGCTACCCTCATCCTGACTACCACGTGTGCTACCTACCTGATCTGCTGGTTCTCCACCTCGAGCACCTTCTCGCGCTCTATCCGCTGCATCAGCTCCTTGTGACGGCGCTGCTCGGAGTCCAGCTGGTCGGCGGCGCGCATCTCCGCCTCACGCAGCTGTGGGAGCGAGCGGTCAACGTCAGGTCAGGTCAGGTCAGGTTGGGTCAGTTTAGCGTGAGAGAGGTAGGAAATCGTGACTAGTGGCTTCAACAGATTCTTCATCACTTTTTATTAGAAATGCATGAGCAAAGTAAACGCGCATAGCAAGGATACTTGCTGCCGTGGTCAACAACTTTATACCAAAGTCGTTTGTAACGCGTTATTGCTTGCTCATGAATGCGCGATAATGGTCTTTGCCAGTCACAGCGCTCGTAAGTGTCGCAATCACTATCACATTCCAGCATTCATTCATCCCATCCCATTCGTCCCGTCAGGCCTTCTAATTCTCATCCCACCCTATTCCCGCGACCCCGTCCCGTGTTTCGTACCTGTTCCTCCATCATGATGAGCCGCGCCTGCAGTGTGGCATTGTCCTGCTTACTGCGGGTGTAGCGGTCATCGTCGTTATGCTGGTTATCAGCCAGCAGAGTCACCTGACGCTCCAGTACCTGCACCTGTGGATATGGAGGGTAGGGTCAGATCAGTGACAGGTCAACTGGTGGTCAGGTCAAAATCGGGTCAGGAAGGTCATCAAAAGTCGGTTGATTCAGGGCCTGTGACAGGTTAGAACGGTTATCAAAAGTCGATTGAGTCAGATCAGTGGGAGGTCAGGAAGCTCATTTAAAGTCGGTTGAGTTGGGAACTGGACGGTTGCAGGTCTGTTTGACAGTAAATCGGATTAGCGATAAGGGTAGATGTGAACAATGGTGGGCGCGCTGGAGGGTGTCGCTGTTACTTGTCACTGAAACCTTAGGACGGAACACAGTGGTTGGCACACACACATTAGAAAAGACGCAAACGAGGACATTAAAAAACGAAGATGTCGGATCGTGAATAATGCCAACAATTAAGGGTACCAAAAAGACAACAACAAAAAAGTTGGCATCCATCGATTGAAGACATCGCCGTAATCATGCTCGAATGTTGCAATCTGTTAACATTTGGATAGGAGAACGTTCGAAAGTAACAGAAGTTCGATAGATACGCTAGTCTCACCACTGCGTACCTTTCTATTTGTTTCCAGACACCAAGTCCACAGGTCAGCTTCAGAAAGTTCTGCACCGCATATGCTAAATTGTCCAGCCCACCAATCAAATTCCAGCTCACTGGCGTCCGGTCTGCCCTCTATCGGTGACCTTGACCCTCCACTACTACCATCTAGTGGTGACTCTGGGAAACCACACGCTCCTGCCGCCCGGCGACGCTGTTGCGGTGAGCGAACAGCGCGCAGGAACTGTCGCAACTGCGCTGTGAACGCCGCATTTTGTGCAGTTAACACCGCATTTTCAACCGGCACCTCAAGAAGTCCTCTTCCCAGCCCCGTCAACTCTCCATCCTCTTCAAGGTCACCGTATGACCCCAGGTCACCGTTTGGGCGTCCGAGTGACCTCAGGTCACCGGCGGACGAGGTCAGGGGCTCGTCCTCCAGACCACTGTCGGTCGTGTCGGGTCCGACGGAGGGGTGTCGTCGTCGGTCGGTCGGTGACCCAGACTCAGCCATCGACCGCCCGGGCCGCGGGATGGTCGCTCAGCTGACCTCCTGTGTACCCGCTGACCCGGGAGGAGGAAATAGCTTTGGTTTTATAGCGGCGAGACGAACTGAGCTTCCCGGTTCGGGCTTTAGGAGATGTTTGCTCTTGAAGTCTTCTGTGTGAAGAGTGACCTCACATTTCGTTGGAGATGATGGTTGTTGCACTTGGCACACCAATCAAGCCACAAAGTAATCAAATTTTTACGGCATGAATATTTAGGAACACCATCGCGCACTGCCAATAAAACGCTGAAGCATGTAAGAACCGCAAGGCAGACGACTTTTTAGAATAATGAAACAAAGCAATGTACAGCTTTCACTATAGCAGACTCATAAATCATTCAAAGATTCGGTTACGGGCACAGACCGCATACCTTAAAAAAACGATGATAATTTTGTTCCTAACAAACAATCATGCCCTACCAGGCCCCTACCAAGACCGTTACACCAAAATAAGTTCATGGCCTCCGCAAGGGCAAACAAAGGGATGACAAAATACCAACATACACCGACAGACAGACAAACTGATAGACGGACATACATACACACAGAGACGGACAGGGGACGGACGGCTGCACGGGGGCGGTTGATATGACGTCATATCCGGTGGAGCGACTGCCAACTGTGACGGTCTACTCGTTAGTGGAACCTGCAGAGGGCATTGTAGACTCGCCAAGAGAACTAAAACGGAACGAAGGCACAGGGGTCCTGCGGTATCTGTTAGAGGTTTAGGAAAGGGAAGTGATTAGCAAGGTTGGTTAGTGGTTACCGATTGAAGCGTATGACCTTACGACGGCAGCTCTTGTTGCAAAAAAAAATTAACCTTCTGCCGCGTTCTGCATAATAATGTTATGCGATTTATGGCAATAAAGGATGTACCTAACTTTCGGAAGAATTCACAAAACGCTTACCAAAACTCTTTTTACTATGGCAGTGAGCTTCACATAGAAATACAGCCTCATTAAAGCCAATTCACACGTGTGGGAAACTTTTGGAGTGTGCAACTATGATGACGAAAAATATTGATGAACTAATTGCAGCCGTTAGGCCGGTCTCGAGCGGGATAAGGTACACGATACGACAGCCAATACCACTTAAACACAGTGTTCCCGAACAGAGTCAGAGTCCCTAACATCACTCAGCGTTCAACCTGCAACACTGTCCACATAAGCTGCGCACTTCGCATGATGCAATTTGCACTGTCGCACAATGATGCTTATTCGCAAGGAGCACGATCCTCCTGGCTCCTGGATTCTCCTGGACGATCCTCATGGATTTCACACTTCACCACAAAGACACTATTCACTCTACAAACAAGCGCTATCACATCCCAAGGTACCCCCTAAGAGGGGGAGGGGGCGGAGTCTCACAAATATCCCCTTCTCCCGGCGCAGGCCCGGCCGGCCGACTGGTCCTCTGGTTCCGCCAGCCGCCGCTGCACCGGTGTGGCGCCACCGTCGCCTACCCTCCAACATGGTTGGCCGACGACAGGTCACGGTGTGTTGGTTTCCATGGAAACGTCACCAGGACTAAGGTCACGTACTAGGCAAAGTACGTGAGGGTATTTTGGACGGAAGTAGACGGGTAGGATTCATTCATGACTAAAGCTATATCCTGTTGGAAGTACAGGAGGAATCTGGAATAATGCCCATCGCTAGAATCGCATTCAATTTATCGAGTCATCTCATACAACAGAGTGACTGAAACGTAAAACAGGTCTCACTGTAACGCAAGTGCACCACTGTCCGAGATAATGTCCAAATCCAAATCTTACATGTCATAAACGGCTCAGACCGACATAGTGAAAACAGCTAACAGCTGAAAACGTAACACCACTTTCATGGCTTGTAAAACTTGTGTTTTCATACATCAAGTTCACCAATTTCTCTTCCCTTTTCACCAGTAACGCCAGGACAGCCAACGAACCTTGAACTGAGCTAATATGTTATGTCTGGTGTTACAGTTTCACACCCTAATAAATACCCAGCCAACCGTGTAACAAGTCGCGTAACATTGCGATCGCCTGGTGTGCTATATGGTAAGGCACAATGGCTGCATAATTCAACAGGGGAAACCTCCAAGCACCACATGCCTCACTAGATTAACTTCGCGCCAGCAGACATTGCACGCGTGCACATTGCTTTGGAAAGGAGTCCGTTACATCGACATACAACCGCGCTTGATGAAACTAAACACCGTCATTTTAGTCTGAATCCTCAGCATACCTTAGTCTCCATCTACCCTAAGTCGTCCGTTAAAGCATCTGGACCACAACAGACGCAGCACAACGGAAACACAGTGCACAGATAGTGAGTCAGTCCGTGCCGGGCGGATGTCACGACCTCAGGTGACCCTGAGACCCCTCCCCCTCTCCTCGAAGAGCGTAGAACGCAGCAGCGACGACACTGGCAGCACCCATTGTTCGCCGATGCAAGGTCCGACGCAGCGATGCATAAGCGGTGTGAATTGAATAGGAGACTTCTAAAGGAAGTGTAGGCGTGGAAGACGTGGGATATTGCTTCTGATACTTTTAGAATGGCACGGGCCGTAGCGCCTCAACGGAGACCCAATACTGGTCTTGTTTACCATAAGGTGGGTACGATGCATAATATTTTCTCGCTGATCGTGTCTAATATTCTCGACTAAGACGACTCTTCTGGTAGGTATAAAATATCCTAATAGGACCAACCGTTAAACGTTAGAGTCTAAATTGTGGAGCCGTATGGTCCTGATATTATATCAACTCACCTTATGATTGAGATCATTGACATCATCTTCGAGCGATAGATCGGAATACATGTCATCTCCATCACAGTTCGAACTCCGTCCTGACGAATTAAAGCTGGGCGTGCGATACACGGGGCTGAAAAGACAAGGAATAAAACGTCAGCGAAGCATTATTTGTGACAACGGCGACCGCTAGGATGGCTTGAATACGGGCATATGGGAGTCATACAACAATATTGGCCATTGGCTAGTTGTTTGCTAGCTTTTAATTTTTAGGAAATGCTTTCTCTTGTGCATTTATCCAGCGCTCAGTGTAAAAATATTGCCACGAATAGGCAGAGCTAGAAGCAGAACGCCATCCAGCCAGCAGATGGCGGCAAGGTACGGAAGCTGTGGTTCGAGTATCGCTCACTGTACGGTGGTGGCGCTAGTTTCGTGGGGTCCACCATGGCTTGAAAGGTTGGTTTTCGAGTGGTATGTTGGGGATGATAATTTTAGCACTATCACAGACGGATTTAGCCTATCTACAGAAATTGTTAGGAGAGTTTCAACACGTGTGGGAAGATACAAAAATCGCACATAGGTCAATATACCTAAATTTTGACCCAACTTAATTAATATCTAAAATTTGCTGAGTATGGTCAATAAATGCCAAATATTATCAATAAGAGCCTTCTGTAGCATCGGTTGGCTACGAAGGTAGAACGCCGACCGCTTTCAATCGCAGTATTGTGCTCAGCCACTGCACCGTCTACGTCACGCCCAATCACTGAGGCAGTAAAGCGGGCGATTGTTCGACTTTTGGGGCAGCCTGCCACCTGTAAAACCCGACCGTTTCCGTTTGGACTAATTTAAAGAATATAACTGTTCGTTCCAGGGCATTTAAAACAATGATAGCGTGATACAAACTAAAACAAAAATATTCCGTATTGTATTCTTTATCTGTGAATTTTAGCAACAAACGTAGGGGCTTCGAACCACTCGGTATTTGATGATATAGACTCTGGTCAAATTTCAATTTAACGCATTGAATATCGAATATCAGCAATTTCAAATACCTTGCAAAGAGTACTTTGGCATGGTAGCTTTCAGCAGTAAACAATGTAAGTCCTGAATCCAGGGACATCCAGGGACACTGCCTAAAAGTCGTTTGCGATTAGGCAAGATCTGCTTGCCAACACTCATTTTTTTCAAATTAGGTTTGCCTCCTATGATTCAAGCTTTCTCAAAACCGCGCAATATATTGCGTGTCATCCCCCTAAAAACACCAATTTCCTTCCAGCCCCATACAACAATGGACTCTCACAATGGTTGCACACGCCATGAATGGAAGACAGATATAACCGAAACCGCAAACCAGGTGAATATCAAACCGGATTTGCTTTCCGCAGGTGCACACAATGGTTACACTCTGAAGCGAGTTAGCCAGTTTTTGGAAATGCATTAGCTGTTAGATGTGTTGGAAGTGAAGCGCTTAGGATGATAGCAATCTGAATAACATTCGTATCAAAGTTCCGCATTCGTAGGAATATCGCGCCCGGTGATCGCTATCTAACAAAAATAAGGAAGTGTTAAGCAAGCATGCAATCCAAAAAATGGAATAATGAAGAGCATTATTTTCCTAAACGATTTTCATAAACAGCGTTCTCTTCAAAGAACTAAAAGTTTAATCATATCGTAGGTATATTTGCATTGCAAGAAATGCGAGCCAACTGTTCAAACTGTTGTTTGTGATAGGCTCTTGGCTCCGAAAAAAAAAAAACTTTTTTTTTACATTCTCACCTTCCGTATCCGTTGGTGACCCCTGACCGCTTGTTTGACCTGCAACACAGAGAAAACGAGCACGTGAGACATCTGGTCAGGCGCTACCCACTTCCCCTTCCTGAGACGAACGGAACAACGCATTGGCGAGAGGTGAGGGCAGCGGTTTAACCCAGGTGTTAATGGGAACCGTAAAGTCATCAGTATTACTTGGGGTAGGAAGAGCATATCAACCTTCGCGCCTTGTTAGAGCTCATTTAAACATCACTGGGTCAGACAATTACCATGGTAGTTCATAAGTCAACCAAGAAATTCAATCTTGGAGTTATAAAACGGAGATAAGACGACCACTGCAACAGAAATACAGGGAAAGCATTCGGCAATTCTGCAACAGGAAAGAAACGGTGCAGCTTTTCCTGGACCATGAACTACATATTTTCTACAATTGTGGTATGTAGCAAGCGTTCGCAACTCCCGGTCGCTGCAAAACGCACAACAGCTGTGTTGAAACAATCGGGTTCAGAAGCCACAAAATGATACAATACATGGAAGCGAGTTCTTATAAATTATAAATTATAAAAGGTACACATTCCGGGCATGGTTTCCTCAACACTGATTTTTGGACACCGGTTCATTGCGTGTTATCGATAACTGAACAGTAGGCACCATACCAACCAAAGGCTATAGGGAAGCTTCATTTCAGAACAGCAAATCCATACTCAGTCAGTATAGTTCATGAACAGTAAATCCAAACTCAATATAGTTCATAGATAAATGAGGAAAGACGAGTCGTGTTTCAAGATGACACAGTGCACACTGCACAGTCTTCTAAAAAGGATGTATAAATTCGTTCAAGAATGTGGCTGGGTCAAAGGTCCAGTTCTAAACACACAAATGACATCAGTATATACCATCTCTGCCAGGCGGGTGCCCAGCTGCACGGAGCAGTACGGTGACTCAATGTAAACATAGCCGTGAGCATCGTGTGCCAACCCAAAGTCGTCCTTTTCAGATCCGCCAGCCGCTGCATGCAAATCACGAGCTAACGACTCATCATTCAGCTGGATCATGAGCTAATATTTCAACAAACTATGTATGTAGATCACTTCTATATTTTGGGAGAGAAAGGGATCATGGCTATTTCAGAAAATGAAAGGATGATAGATAGTTCAGAAAATTAACACTTTTATTATAAGAAAAGTTTTGCTTGTAAAGTTCTTCTTGTAAAGAGTGTCTTTCAAGGGAATCACTCTCAGGGTAGTACCTATCAGGGGAATGCCATCAGGGGAGTGCCGATAGGGAGTGTCTGCAGAGAAGTTGGAGTTAAAGTGGGAGTTGAAGATGGAGCTAAGGAGCGGCCATACCGTGCCAGGCACCACACACCCTTTCTCTGACAGTATAGCGTGTTGAATCAGGGTGTAGCCTCTGACTGCAGTGACCTGGGTGTAGCCAGCAGTCAATGGTGAATGGGTCATGAACAATGACGCCCGGGCCTTTGAAGTCGAGGTCAGCTCTTGGACTCGCTTTCTCCGAGGGCGTGATTTTAAAATAATTGTGGGAAATGGAAAGATCTACCAAACTAAGCAGTGGAGATCGTTTGTTTGGTGAAATCACTGCCAATAAGAAATATTGGTTGTATTGGCTAAAAATGTCACATAAACAATAATTTTTACAGGATAGACACTAAAAAAGGTTCGGCAAAAAAAGTTCGAGACAGGATATTCCAAGTCAGCAAGACCGTGGCAGCTGCACTGTGGGTGAAACCAGGAAAATGCGGCATGATATGGCCGACGTGATATGGCCCTGAGCTCAGTCTCTCCAGCATGCACCAGCCGAAGGTGTGTTCTAAAGCCAGAGCTGACGTGGTTAAGCGTGCGGTGGGCTAAAAATGAGCAACCCTCTGTCCAGCGACGCCTCAACAGTCAGACCGTGGGCCCATACATCCAGCTCTGCTAGTTTAGTGAGAATTACGAGACAATCTGCCTATAGAAGTCCAACAGCCCAACGACAGAGCCAGGTAAATCCACCACACTGCTGAGCTGTCAGCACTTAGGCATCCGGAACATAAATGGAACCGGGTGCGGCGAAAAAGTCGAGACCGCAACGCGTGCCAGACCGGTTATCGAAATCGCCATCAGGCTAAATTTCCTGCAGCACTCAACCCGCAATATCTATGTACATACAGCTTCGGACTAAGGGACTCGTACTTTTGCTTACTCGTAGCTTTGGACTAACGAAAAGAGACTCGTGTGCGTGAATTCTGAAAGAAGAGCCATGAGTGATTATGACGGGAGAAGCAAAGCTGTTGCATGTAAGCTGTTGAAAGCTGTTGAGCAACTAAACGTGAGAACGCCGTGATACTGAAACCCATCAGCATCCATGGCAAGAACATACATGCGCCTCGTTCCTCGAGAGAAGAAAACGGCGAATAAAAACATCCAGCGCTGTCCAGCCATCTTCGTGACCAGTCTTCTGAGTGGACAAGTCACGCACCGGACAATTTTCCTCGCTTTTCTCTTCAGACCCGCGGAATCAGACTGGTAAAGATGGTGGGAGGCGCAGGTGAACATTTTTCATTAACGCTCCATCACCAAATGCCAATGATGATATCCATTATTGGATAACCAGCCATTGCGAAACGCTCTCGCTCGGCGATCCTTTTCACTAGAGGAAAAGCTGATGAGAAATAAATTACAAAGAATGACAAGAAATATGAGAACAAGGCATGACGTCAAGACATTGTTCGACCTAACAAAAAATGGATTGTCAGGGAACTCAAATATCTGTGCTTCGCTGCATGCACTTGCAGTCTACCTGGTATCCGAAGAAGCCCCGTGGGTGAAACGTAATACAACTATTCTATCAATTTTGATCCTAAATAATGAGCATCTGGCTAATCATCTTCATCATCATATGTAACACAATGCTCAGTACTAGCATCTCCATCCTCAAAAATGATCCATTTGTCAACAAAAACCAGCTAAAACAATGGAAGAGCAGACCAATGAAGTGGCATGCAATACTATACCCAGAACAAAAGCTACCCACCGGGTTGGGACGGTAAAATCCCGTGTCTCTCCCTGATGTAGCAGAAAAGTACGCCGCAGAAAGGCCCCGCAAAGCATAAATTTATCAAAGCCAAGCGAATTCGTCGCTGAATCGGGACACACTAAACCCAAACTAGGCAAACTAGGTAACTGAAAGAAACTAGGCAAAGCGAACGGCACCATTTTGCTACTTTGCCCTACACCAGAGCTACATTGCACGGGTGCGGCACATTCTGCCAGTCAGAAAACACTAATGCTGCAGCGCGCAGTACCAGGCGTGCCTAATCACTCCCAGTTAGGTACCGCACTCATCCAATAATGCTGCGTAGAACGCATGCACAGTGAGTCCTTGTGACACAGATTCATGCTAAAAATCAAAACTCGTATTAATAAATTGATGTTACCATATTTGAGGCCAAAAAAGATCACTTACAACAAGCCTGAAAGCACTGACAGCAAGCCGAAAGCACGCGATTGCTCGTCAATTTTGATGGACGTACAGAAAAATGAAAGGTGATTTCATGTGAATGGGAGCAGACACATCAAGGTTATTAGTAACGGAACTCGACAATGTCATGGGAATCGAAAGTAATCGAAGTGTATCGCCAATCACGATCGCATAAGGTGTGGGTTGACAGACTTTCCGACCGCACTTCTAAGAACAAGTAAAAATGCTGGCAGGTGGATAAGAGTATGAAAGCCCAGCATGTAGAATTGTGAAGCTCGTAGAGTATCAAATAGACGAATTTTAGTTTGAGAAGAACACTGAATAGCGTAAGCCAATGAGATCATCTTACAACAAGTTTCACAAAACACTGGTTTGTTTAAAACCTAAAATTGTAGCCAAGAACTTCATACACGTGATTGAATCAACATTCGTCAAACTGATTTCATCTGGCAGCCACCATGACGTCACAAGTCACCTCACCAAATCTGGTAACAACCGCGACCAATTTACCTCACGGTTAGAAACCGATCTCAAATGCAGGCGGGGCGAATGGCTTAGTCACGGCTGCCATTGTTTAACTCTCGCTTATCGCCACGGAGGTGACTGGTGGTCCTCAAACAAAGGACTCCCTTTCCACTCCCATAATATTCCGCTACCCTGACCCACACCACTCCCCATTCACACCTGTTAGACACCAGCCAGCCCACGGTCCTCGCCTCGGGCAACTCCCAGGGCATGAATAAACCGTGTCAGTCGCTGACCCCAGGGTCACCGTAGGTCAAAGGTCATGGGCGTCCGGCCGACGGACCGGCCAGGCCGTCTGGCAACGGGATCTGGCAACCAGCCTCGGGCTGTCTGGATAGTCGCCGGCGGGACCGCAGACGGCGTAATTATAAAGGAGAGTAACCACAGAAGGCCCGAGGGGTCCGATACAAAAAGTGTTCTAGGATCGTATGCTCCAGGTGGGGAGGGTTTCAGGTACTGGGTGATTACAGGGAGCGGGATCAAGAAGAGAGAAAAAGACAACTCGAGTAGAAAAAACTTCCGACCAAGTCAACACCCTTGTCCGACCGTGACTGTGGGCTACATAAGGCCAAAGCTTCCATTTAGGCACACTCCAACTTCCTTTTCCTCCGGCTTTTCCTTCTCGACCTAGCATTGCAGTGGGACGCGTCCCACCTCCTCGCCCGTTCGCCCGTCTCAACATTGGCCAATCATTGACCTGAGGAGCTGGGGACAGTCGGCTGTCAAGACGAAGGTTAATGGAATCGATCACCTTCGTCGAAGTGATTTTAGTTCGCATCGGTGGCGGTCTAACGGCAGCACTCCGGCCTTGTTGATTGATCATGCTCTGTTTTACATCCAGGCAAAGGTAATTGCGGCATTGCTACTTGTTGCGAAGTCGATTTGTGGTTTATAAATCATTCTAGATAACTATTTAAGGCTCTAGTGGCGACACAGTGGTTAATTAAGCTCACTAACTGAGTAGCGTGACTTGTTTAAGCAGGTCGATCCCCTGTCTTTCTTTAAATAAATTGCAGCTACAAAAGCCACGGTATCCAAGA